CAACACCCAGTAGACCTGACAACTAAGCTTTGGAGGAATCTAAGTGAGAAACCTTCGAGTTGACATCCCAATTTATGACCCACAGTGCTTATGATCAGAGATTGTTGAAGAAGAAGGAAACTGAAACATGTGACCACAGGAAAGATTTGTGGAAAGAGAGACAGAGGAAAACAATGTAAGAAGATTCATGACAGAATGTTGTCATGGTAAAGAGGAGTGTCAGCATATGAACTAAAGCTTGTTGCTGAAGGTCGCAGGTTGTGGAGTGACATGATCGCCTGCGCCAGGCAACATTGCATTAAATTATGATTATCGTTCTTGCTCTGTGATACGTATCACCCGGCATGTCCCCAACCTTCTGCCCCATGTACTGTCAATCATTTTCGAAACAGATGTTCCTCCATACCATGTTGCCAATCTGTCCAAGCTCTTCTGTTTTATTCTCGCTGTATCTATCCATTCAAGCATTTTCTTTTTCATCTTCTCATCCTCCAGTTACTTCTCTGAAGTGTTAAGGGGATATTTAAGGATATATTCTGTGTGCTCTTTTTTGTGAATTCCACAAGTTCACCTTCATTGTTTTAAGGCTGTTCTTCGTGCCATCGTTCCATATTCTGCCGCCCCCTCCCCCAACCCGCTCATTATACTACTTCAGAGTGGCAGTTCATACCAGGGCAGGCATTCTTCTCAGATAGTCAAACCATGTTATCTCCTGCTCTTAAACAAATTCCCTATGACCCGTTTCAATCCTAGCCTTCTACGAATTTCTTCATTTTTAACCGTATCTCTTCTTTTTACTGATTAGTTTTAGAAAGAGCACAAGTCTGACTGGTTATCATTCAGGTGGCCAGAAAATAGTTATCAAAAAATGCCTAGGCATACAAAGGCATGTTGTTACAAGTGGTGTTAACTGCCCCCACACCTGGTTTACTTTAGCACACTACGTGGGGATTTGTCTATCACTTCTTCCTTCTGATGTAAAAACTGACCCTGGACATTTAAATTCATTTATTTTAACACCTTTAACACATTTGTATGTATATTTAAATGTGTGCATTTGTCTTCCATGTCTTTGTGGTTTAACTTAATATATATACTATGTCTATTGCTATATGGATATTCCATGCATTACAAATAGAATGGCAGTTTTCAGATGGGCTTGTGTACATCCTTTGTGACCTTGAAAAACTCAGTTTGTTTGAAGTATGTAAACAGGACACCAGGAGGGGAAGAGAGGTGGAGGGAGGCCAAGAGAGAAGATGTTTGCATGGCACAATGCTGTGAAAAAACAACTGTATTATTGACAGAACATAACCAGAAGGCTGTAAACAAAGATTACCAACATCCCAAGGTATGGTGACATCATTTATGCTCTGCTTTCTTTTTCTTAATTTCAAACTTGACAAAGAACAGATAATCCAAGAAGATTTATCAGTATATAAAGTAACAATTCTGGAATGAACTGAGCAGTGTCCATCAAGCACCAAGTGTATAATTGTCCTTGAATGTGAGAGAGGTATGGGAGCAAATAGTTACAAGGATCAAACTTGACATCTGTGTCCAGCTATTCTGAACAATAAACTGTACATTAAACCAGTGTTTTCAACCTGTTTACCCCTTGCTGATCAGGGAAACGGGAGAATTTCCCTTAACTTGAGGGGGGGGGCAGCTAAGGCATCACCAAAAACAAATCATGATTATCAAAGATTGTGTGCCGCCTCTAGAATGGAGGTTATATACACTACTTACTGTCACTGAGAATACTGCGTGGTGAGGTTCTAATCTCTTCCACGGTGCGAATCTCATACCACTGTGTCAAGGCCACAAGAACAGTCTTTCTAAACAAACTAGCAAAGGAAACCAAACCCTGATACATCAGAGACTTGAGTGTGCTCAAGTTAAAAAAAAAATATAAAAGCTTACTAAAAAAGGGGTAATTCTCTTCACTTTTATGTTATTTTTCTTTCAGTTAAAATAAAACCACAGAAAAATGGGTTATCCCCCTCACATGTTTAAAGAGCACCATTCCAGGCAACAGATAAAACACCAAACAGGCACTTAATTAGGACACAAATGAATTAAGGAAATTAAGATATCCAACACAGAAAGTCCAAGATGAATGAAAGAGGCCAAAGGTGCTGGACTGGATTCTAGAATGCTCAAATGATTGCAAGACTGAACAAAATATTCCATGTGCCTGCTTTACCAGTTTTCCATAGGTTTCTAACAACAAATGAAATGGGAAGGGGGTTAGGATTCTTTTTATTCTGTTTTGCTATTTGTCTATTTCAACAAACAGGACAGTGGGCTATATATATATAAATATATTTGTACTGAAATATCCTGTCTGATTGCTAAAATAATACAAGAGAAAAACTGATATTCTTAACAGTACCATTTTTGGTAAATGATGTTACAGTAACATAGCGGGTTCGGATTTTTATTCCCCAAAAAATGTTCATCCCTTACTGAGGATTTGAACCCATCTCCCACATAACAGCCCAGCTCTATAACCGCTCAGTCAGCAGCTCCACTCATAAGGGAGGAAAATACCTAGTATTCTAAACACTTGGGAATACTCAATATGTGAAACATCTATACACTCAATACCCAGGCATTGTAAATAAATGTATTTCATCACATTAACAAATTACAAATTAAAATGATTCAGGCATTTTTAAGACAAATCAAATATACACAGAAATGTAAAATGTTAAATATAAAGCTATTAGCATCTAAGGTTTATGTGAATATATTGTTCGAAGTGTGGAAAGTAAAATAATTTGTCACAATGATTTCTTTAACTCATCAGTACCAAACAGCCCACAATGTTTTTGAGGAAACTGACAGAAGCAGTATAAAAAAAATGGAACAATCCTGCTGCATGTAAACAAAAAGATCATGTGATAAATTTGAACAATTCTTTGATAGTCACGTGTCTATCTTGAACTTCAGTTGACAACAGTGATCTGTGTATTTAAATGGAAGATTCATTCCTCTTCAAATATTTCATTATGTTGATGTAAAAATTTACTGTGGGAATAAACAGTTTTGAACTCATATGACATTCACTCTTTTTTTCCTTCCCCAAAAGCCCCTTATCATAAACTTTATGACCAATCTGGACGTAACACTAACCCACTGTGCTCTAATTCTTAGATCTTACTTCCATGGGTATTATTCTAACTCCTATGACCCAAACATTGATTGCTTAAAGTAACAAACTTCTTAGAACAGAACAAATTAAATATGTAGTCATTACTACCCGCACCCAGCTTGGACGCTAAGTTAATTTGTAACAGTAATGTCCGAACTATGGCTCTTTGCGCCACCCGGTGTCAATCTTTTTTGCTAAAATCCCGGAAAGACATTTTGTTGTTTAAAGTACCGTATTTTTTCTATACATAAGAGTGTTTAACATTTTTTTAAATCTGTCTGAAATTGGGGGTCATCTTATATATGGATTGCATTCAATTAATCCATTTCTTTATTCTGGGCATCCTATACATGGAAAAATATGACTACACATGCTTGGTACTGAAAAATTATAATAAACAATAAATCAGAACAGATAAAATACAATAAGAAAGAAACACGTCAGTGTTTTTAGGTAATTAGTGAGCAATTAATCAAACAAGGATTACATACGACAGCGTTATTCATGAAAAGTCAAATGTAATTACAACTATTAGAATGCAATAACAGGTCTGCCTTGATTAAAGTCCAGGACAGCAAAGTGATTTAAACTGTGGTTTTAAGAGCAAAGTTAAGTTAGTGTTGGTCAACATCTGAAACTAAATTCAAAACCAAATGTTTTGCGCAGTCAGTGCACTAGTCCTTGTGGCGTCTACAGGTAATATTATCCAGGTAAAAAAAAAAAACCACAGAAAGCAATTCACACTAAGATATGAAGAAAAAAAGCTCAACCATTTTTATTTGCAGCTAAATATTACTGGTGTTTGGATTCAGTGATAAAAGCAGGTCAAATTATTTACTAGTGATCTCTGTCTTTTCTTTAATCCAGAATTCTGTGTTTGTTCTGTGTTCGTTCAATTTACTTTATCAGCTTGGCAGCTGTTACTCAACCTTACCCCCTTTTGGTGCCACTTGACTCCATCTAGCACTGTGACACGCCACAATTGTAACTATGGTAATAAGATAATCTACTATCAGCTTCTTCCTGGACAACTAGCCAAAAACATCCAAGATAATCAAGCAGGAACATCTTCTTGGAGAATCTACCAAGAACTAGATGTTTAGATAATCTACAATGGACTTCTTCCTGGATAACACACCATAAACTTCTCAGATAATCTACCAAGAACATCCTAGATAATCTGCCAAGAACTTTATCCTGACTTATCTATGAAAAACATCCTGGACAGTCGAGCAAGAACTTCTTAGACAACTACCAAGAACTTCTTTCAGGTTTATCTGCCAACCCTGGATAATCTACCAGGGACTTCTTGGATAACGAATAAAGAATATCCTTGACAACCTAGCAGAAACTACTTCTTGGATAATCTACCAGGAAGTTCTTACATGAATCAAGAACATCCTTTATAACCTAGCAGAAACTACTTTTTGGATAATCTACCAGGAAGTTCTTCATGGATAATCCACACCCATGCAAATGATTTAGAAAATAAACATTATACTATGATAATGTTCTGAAGCTAAACATTACAAATGATCACCCAAAATATACAACATTGGAGAACTAAAATGATGAGAGACTGACAATATTACCCAGCGAGAAAAACTCTTCACAAATTGCTGTGTGAAAAAATTGAGGATTCTGGCCCTATTAAAAAGACATTCACATGGAAACCAACAGTCAATCCCTCACATGAGTAAAGATGATAAATACCCAACCAATCTGTGGTTTAACCAACTATTTATCTCCCCAACACTCTATAATGAAAACAGAAGAAGACAAAAATCTGTAGTGTACTTCAAAGTTGTTGTTGTACAGCACAAACCTGCCCTCTGCCATTTACCTAAGAAATTTTTCTAAATGTGACCTGTTTGCCTGGGTGATGCTGCTGAATATGCGAGGCCACCTCCAGAGCTTTCAGTGTGACCATAACAGGGCAGTAGGGGCACTGGTAGAGGGTGTTACTACGTTTGTGCAACCCCTTAGATGGTCGCACTGGACTAGGTGAACTGTGGGCCATCAAGTGACCTGAGGGACCAGCTGCTGATGAAACTGGCACAGATGATGAAAACAGCGAGGGATGCAGTGGGTCATTATGTCCTGTCATAGGCTGATGGTGGTCATAAGGTAGAGTCTGTACTGGTAGTGGTTGAGGCTGGTAAACCTGTCCAGACAAAGATGGAGGCTGTTGGTGAGCTGGATGGGCTCTAGGTGCGGCAGACTGTTGGCTCTGTTTAAAAAGATGTCTTTGGGACTGCAGTTGCTGCTGGTGATGATGCTGCTGCTTCTTAAGGTACAGTTCCCTCTGTTGATGCTTCTTCAAATATGCTGTTGCTTCTTCTGATGACATGTTATTTCTCCTTGCTGATGCAGAATGTGCTGCCATGAGTGCCGATGTGTGGGGCAGGTGAGAATGCCTTGACAACGGGGAATTCTGTGGATTTTGTTTCTGGGCCAGTAATCCTTGCATCAAAGACTGGTTCTGTGAATATGGGAATGAAAAGGGCAACATGTTTGGTGAAATGACCATGCCTGGTGGGAACCCAGCAAGTGGACCTTGGATATACCCTGCAGCCATTGGGGCTGAAACAGGAGGGAAAACTGTTGGCACCCCTGGTGGCAGAGATGAAACTGGTGATGGTGAGATACGAGGGCCTGTGGGGCACAGGTTAAAGATCTTGAAGGCATCGGGGTTGGGCTCATCATCTGGAAGACTGTCAATAATTGAAGAACTAACTGATCTGAAGGGTTGCTGGCCCGCTCCTGATGCGGACATCACACTAAAATTACAGTTAGATGCAGACAGTGGCACTGCATCAACAGGGCTCCCTACCACAGGCTTTGCTGCTACCGGGGATGTTCTAGGCCTAATCGTTGGAACATTCAACACTGGAAGGTGTTTAGCAGAACCATGTGTTCTTTCACTTGGCTTAGAATGTGACTGCTTGTTTGACTGCAGATGCTGATGATGACTGCTGTGTGCCTGCTGAGGTGAGGGGCTCAAAAAGCTGGCTGCCGCTGCATTCTGGATAAACGGAGCAGAATGAGATGCAACTGCCAGCTGAGGTGGTGTTAAGGAAGATGTATCAAACAATGAGCTGGAGAATGCTATGGCTGGTCTGGCCACAGCTGGGACAGATCCGATACTTGTAGCCGTTAAAGGCACTGCAAAGATGGGCTGCATGATTCGTGTAGTTTGCACAGCTTCTGCTACAGGAATCAACGGTGTAGCTGCACATGAAGCCTCACGTAATGGGTGCTGTTCAGCAGAAGAAATCTGACCTTCTGTGGGAAGCTGTGGTACCCGCTGTGGTAAAGAAGCCACTTGTGTTTTCTGTGGCTGCTGAGATGTGGATGAAGAGGTCCCTGCACGTATTTTCTCAGGGCTGCTACCTAATGTTTTTTCAATGTACTTGCCACTTTTGGAGATGCAAGTCAGTGCGGTAAACAAATTCTTGGGCACGGAGACATGAACTTTGTCTGTGTCTAGGGATGACTTGTGAGCCCTAAGGCAATGTTCAAATATTTCTGGCAGCAATTTGCTCCGATAACTCTGGCACTCAGGACACACAAACTCAAACAAGTCTGAATGTTTAGTGTTAAGATGTTCATAGACACTCGTAAGAGACACCATCTTTACCTGACAGTATGTACAAGTATGTATGTCTTCTTCTAGCACAATTCTATTTCCCACACGGATACACTCCGGTCCAATCGGCAACACCATGGCTTCAACAAACTTTTTGGCATCTTCAGACAGGGCGATCTCATTTCTACCAAACTTAGTGGGGTGTGACTGTTTAATGTGATGCCTCAGTTGTTTCTGGCTTATAAAACTCTGGGAGGTCTTGCAGTACGGACAAGAGAAGCATCGCATGTTGGGGTGCTTGGCTTTCAGGTGTTTAACCATCATCAGAAGGTAAGGGGTATGCACCTTGCAGGCGTTGCATTTATACGACAGTGGCAAGCCACCAGCAAAGGATGGACTGGCTATGGGTGAGGATGCTGAAGAGATGTCGGTAGCGGAACAATCAGCAGCTGTCGACTCAGTTGTTGCAACAGTCCCAGAAGTGGCTGTGTCTTTATCTACAGAGCTGGGAACTGACATTTCTGTCATTGTAACATTATTAGCCGGTACCGAGGAATGCTCTGATCCGGAGAACTCTTTGCCGCTGGTCAATGAGCTTTCTGGCATAACAGTGCCAGCCTAGGGAATTAGAAAAGATTTAGTTACATTACAAAAAATCATGGAAAATGGGAACAGAATGAAAAAGTAATATCAAAATGAGATATAAGAATTAAAACAAGCTGTCATCACCGGTGTTAAGTTTTACGATGTATGATGAAGTGCTTTGTGTAGAATAAATCATTAAAATGTACGTCCGTCAGACTGGTATAGTTGTTCAATGAACGAAAAATTGTTTGGTGTGAAATTAATCAATAGAAAAGAAGGCTTGAAGGGGTACAATATATGATAAACTTTTTGGTGTGGAACGAATTATTGAAATGTATGTTTGTGGGACTGGGTATAGTTGTTCAGTGTATGATGAACTGTTTGGTGTGGAGTAAATTATTAGAATCATTGAAATGTCTGTCTGTCGGACTGTTGTATAGCTGTACAATGTATGATAAACTGCCTGATATGGAGTGAATCATTAAAATGAAACACGTGACTGTGGTAACTGTTTATTGTACAGTGGATCAACTTATCCTTATAGACCAATCAATTCTTAGCAGCTGTTATGGAAAATATCATGCCAGCCACCTTTCCTCCCCATGACATTTCCCATTTTAGGCTATGCTGACCTGGCAGCTAAGCTCAGAAGATTCGAACAATCGAGCATCAGGTCAGCAGGCTAGCCTGCACTCTGATTTCCTAAACTATCTTGTGTATTTTTGTCATGCTGTGGTGACATCTGCACCCCAGCTTGTCTGAGTGAGTTTCTTCATAAGTCTGAGCCGCAGGGTAGCTTTCCTTAACGTGTCTTCAATGTCGAGGCCCCAGGTTAGACTTTTATCAAATTTTACTGCCAAATATGTGGGGTTTTCCCTCTCTGGAAGTATGTAGGTACAGATCATCTTGTTCTAGCTTAGTGGAAAAGGAGAAGAGAGTCGAGATAGTTTTCGTCTGGTTTATTGTAACCCCCAAAGAGTTTATTTCTCAACTTATTTACTGCTTCCTATGTTCTTGTTTTAGTTGTTCCTATATGTTCAGCTTGGGTCCATATGGCCGGGCCATCTGCAAAGAGGGCCTTGTGAATGTAGTCGTGAACTGTTTGGGGAGGTCATTCATGGAGCATGGCATGGGGGCATTCTCTACTGTAGCTAAATCAAATCTAAACAAACTGGACAAAATACAGAACACTGGTCTCAGAATCATCACTGGAGGAATGAGAAGTACATTAATCAGTGAACTGGAGGCAACTGCTGGCCACCAGAGCTTGAGCCAGCAAAGAAAAGAAAAGGTGCTAAAACTAACAGAAAAAATTAAACGCATGAACAACAATCCCATGCAAATAACAGCAAACAAGTTAACCTAAAACTGACTCAACAGAAGCTTTCACTAACCATCAAAACTGTTCTGCGCCCAAAAAAAAGTGACTTCCTTTCTAAAGACCCTTCAATGTAGGAAATGATCCAGGCATACAACAGACCTACAGCCTGGCCATACAGTCTCAACAAAAATCACAGGCATAGACAGAATGCTGAATAATGTGAACTACTATTGCTGACAAAGACCATTGAGCATGTCTACAACTCTTACCCAAGGCCTGAATGAGCACACATATTCATTGATGGATCACTGAAGCAAAAAAACGGAGGAGCTGGTCCAGTCATTATGCTGCCAGATGGGATCACAGTTGAAACGTCATGTGCCTCAGAAAAACTCAACAAATCAGAGCAGAGCAGCAAAGCCATTCATTACTGATGCAACCAAAAGTGCTTGGGGAAAGAAAATTAAAACAGAAAAATTGCTTTCATGTGTGACTGCATGCCAGTCCTTCAGGGATTCACAAGACAACACAGAGAAAGAAATGACTTGCCAGCTTAACAGTAACTCAAAAACAATCAAATTTTTCTACAGTGGATCCCGACTCACTGCGACATACCAGGAAATGAATTAGCGGACAGACTTGCAAAATATGGGACAAAGGAAAAACAACACACCCCTTCATTGTCATTACCAGAAATTAAAACCTATCAAAAGGAAATACAAGGAATTGTGGAGAGAATAAGACCATAAACATCCACAAGGCCCCATCAGCAGACTCAACAGAAAGCAACATACAACAATGTTTCGTCTAAGAACAGGACTGTCATGGCCCAGTGAGTGCGGTCGTGTGGCGAAATGGACCACACAGTGGGGTGTGTCGTGTTCAGATGACACCCCAGGGTTGACACAAAGGTCAGTGCCGTGACTGGCCAAGCCAGTGCTGTTTGCACGGTGAAACTATCGCTCAGTAGAAACCACCTGGCCACAACGGGAAAGAGTAAACTCTGTTGCAGACAAGTTCGCAACACGATTACCTCTTTGGGGACTGAACAGATGAATGAGTCAAAAGACATGAGGTGAGAAAACACAAGGGGATTGAGTGGACAGCATTCGGACCGAGCAAACGTGTTAGCGAGACCGATAGAATATTAGAGTTAGGATATTTCTTTAGTGACTGCATAGATTATTTACAGTGTTCTGTTAGAATAGGATAGTATCTTGTGCTGCGTATTTAACTGGCTGTGTTGTCTCACAATAAGTAAGGAGTGTCCATTTATTTCTGACCAGTTAAATCGGTTAGGTACAAGTTCTGTAAGAGAATGTCTAACCTTGTCACACCCTGCACTAGACAAAGGCCGTGACATCTTGGTAGGTCGGTGTGACGATAGAAAAGAGCGTATCTCGCCTAGCTGTAGTTTGTGCATCAGAAATTGCCTGTGGAATGGACTGGAGAGCGAGGCGATTGTAAAGCTCGTTCGGCCAGAGGGTCCAGGCAATAGGTGGCCACACAGCGGGAAGTCAACTGTCTATTGTATTACCTGTACTTACAATAAAGATTGTCGTGTGTGCTGTGTGCGTTCAGGTTCAGTGTGTGTTAAAGGTTAGTTTGTCTGTCATAGGCCCAGTTACGAGCCACGGACCATCAAGGTCACCCGGAGTTCTGTGACAAGGACACTACAGAATCAACTACTACATTCATAAAATAAAGACTGTACGGTGCCCCACAGTGTGCATGTCAGACAGGAAGGCAAACACCTGAGCACATTCTGCAGACCTGCCCACTCTACCTACAACTTCAAAACGAAACATGGCCTCAACAGCAAAGTGTGCAGAGCAAGCTATAAGGAAACACGAAGAACCTGCAGCTGACATACGAGTTCATAGAGGCAACCCATCTGATGGTCTGACCTGAGCATACAAAACCAAACGCAAAGAAAAGTAATATAATTTTTAAGTAATCAGGTTATCGTAGTCCCAATATCACAACAAATGGATCACCCCCATCGCAGCTCTTTTCTTGTGCCAAAGAAAACCATGCAGAAAGTCCATCATCGTCCCTTGTAAAAATAAAAACGGATGCATATTGTGTTTTCAGCAAAGCCAATAGCATATGCATGCAGTAAACTCATAATGCAGCCGTCTAAAGTGCCAACACAAACAGTTTAGTGCTAGAAATGCAGTATTTTTTTAAAGTCTTATCAGTAATTATAGCCACACTGAAATGAAGACCAGCTTATATATTGTACTTGAAAAGAGCACACAGCCAATATACATCTTTCCTCAACACTTTGCAGAGGTAAGCTGGGGAATAGAAGAAGAAGAAAAAGAAGAAGAAAAGACAAACTGTGACAACAAATGACGAACAAAATCAGTGACAACAGCAACACATTATTACCTGACATTTGTCGCTGCCCTCAGGTAAATTATCGGTGCCCGTGTGCACTTCCTCTGACCCAATCTGCTCATCAGGATCCTCACTCTGCTCACTGAGGCTGACCACCTGGACAATCTTTAAGCCCATGCCTCCCCCATCCTCATCATTGTCCTCAACCCCATGATCTGGATCGATGTGGCACTCTTGCTGGATGTGTTCATCTTCACTGGCGTCTCTAACCGCAAGGCTTGGCAGCTCCACAAGTTGATCGCTGAAAAACGTTATCCAATGAAGGCCAAATTATTTTCATTTGCTGTTTAAATCACCACTAATCACTCCTTTTGTGATCACTCTTAAAAGGACAGTTGAGATGTTGTGGTTTACAGCTAGACATGCTATCTGCCCCTTTCAGTCCAGCACACATGATTTAAGCAAACTTGTAATTACTCATCTTTTAGGCCATGCTTGTTTAGAGGCAGTGGATCTTCTTATCCAAAACAGAGCCCCGGAGCCCACACTAGAATTTATTACTATACTAACAGACTGCAATGGCTGAGGCAAATAGGAAGGATGGCAAAAAACAGAGAAATAAAGAAATTTAAAAAAAAAGAGCTGAGTGGGGCTTAGACCATCGAGGCAGACAAAGAAGACGGCCTAGAGATAATATATAAATAGACCCGCAAAAAAACAGTGTGACCAACAAGAAAGATAAAGCCAATTACTGAGATGAATAGAAGTGGGCACTGCCTGCAGCAGTGAACCTCAAGGGCTCAGAAGGTTAAAGGAGAATACTTTTATTTGTCAATGACTAGGGACTTTTTCGGTGAAGACAAGCAAGAGGAATCAAAGCTTTTCAATAAAATCAGAAAAACTTAGAAAACCAAGGACCAAGAAGAAAAAAGGGAGCCATCATGCGTAGCGGCCAAAAGCTCACCAGTGGATTGAAAAGTCGTGGGTTCAGGTCTTGACGGAACCGGGCTTTCTTCAAACATAATCTTGGCTTCCAGGTCAACCCAACCTTGAGTGGGTACCAGGTGCAGTCCTGGGAAGTAAAAGCGGCCGGCACGATGTTGACCACATCACTCACCAAGTGCTGACTAGTCTACAAAATATAGGTCTAGCCCTATACGCCTAATTTGCCTGAATGCATGGAAAAGGGTTCTTTATGTTGACTTTACAAGAAGAAAAACTAAACGTCCCACATGATCTGAGAATGGAGGAGAACTGGCTCGTGAACAGCATCCTGTCTCAAATGCTGAGGTATTCTGGCCATATTAAATGTCACGGTGACATGAAGAGAACGGTGACGGAGAGCAGTTTCTGGACAACGAGGCAGATGCAGAAATCCACAAAGGTGGTGGATAAAGACACTGAAGATGCTCTGGCTATGAAAGCACACAAGACTGGAGGAGAACTAGTTGAAGAAAGAGGGACTTTTAGGCATGCCCTGATTACAGCGACATTCTGCAAAGGACCCGCTGACTGGCGATGATGATGATGAGGAAGAGGATATCTGCACATTATATTGAGCCAATATTAACAGACAGCTGTTCCCTGTGTGGACTCTGGGGTCCCAGTGGGTAGGAAAACAGAATAGACCCACTGCCTCCCCAACAAGCATGTCGTAAGAATCGACTAACTAGGCACTTCCTTCAATGCCACAGTGCATCTACCTAACAGGTGACGAACCAAAAATCTACATACAATTAGTCAGATCTGTAAAACAGATGTGCATGCAACACTCAGGTTCTGGAACAAGACCGAGTCCAGAAGTGGACAAACACCCACAACATTCTGCTGAAGTTTACAGCCGCTGAACGCGAAGAAGAACAGATATATGTGAATCGTGGATTGGTTTTAAAATAAGGCAAATATTACTATGAGGTCCATCAGATATGATTTTACACCCAAAACAAAAAAATTTATACAATTTCTTGGACAGTCAAAATGACTAATCTAAAATGTTTAATGACGCAAGACATTACAATAATTTATCATAAGTGACAGAATCAGATCATGTTCTAATTTTCTTAGATACCAAGTTATACATACCTAAAAGATTCTTCCAGTTCAGTCTGCTGATCACAACATTCAGAACCAGTATCTGCGCCCACCTGTGAATCACTACTGACATTTGTTGCGGCTCTTGCAGATGATGTGATAAGGTCATCAGTGATTAATGAGGGAGTCTCAGGTACATCTGAAAGCCCTTCAGAATCTTCAGAACCGGATCTATGATCAGCGATGACTTCATTTTCTCCAACAGTTGTGTGATGAATATTTTCTGTAGGACTTTCTACAGGAACAGGCATCAGTGGTGATGACCGCTCCTCTGTGTCATCCTGCTCATCAGGGTAGTCAACAGCAGTTGTGCTGTCTGCCTCTACTTTTGTTTTTTCTCTCCATCCCTCCTGGAGGTAGAGGTACTCTTTAGCTTTCTGTCTGTGATCGATGGTACTGATGCCCGGCTGGGTTTCATCATGAAATAAGGAGGTCATCCTTTCAAATATATTTTCCCTGTCATCCTGAGATGCTGTCTTTTCTTTCGCACTGAGCAGCTCGGCGTCATAGAAGTCTGGCAGCTTCTTGTAGGGATGCCTGCGTGCAGGATGAACTATTGCACAGTGGTCCTTGATGTCACTTTCTGTATAGCAGACATTTTCACTGCACAAGAGGCAGGCAAACAGAGCTTGTGAAGAATGGAGATCCAGAACATGGTGCTCTGCATCTTCCTTGACATTGGTGGAGAATCCACAGTGAGTGCACACAAATCTGTGTGACGGGGCCGAGGAAGATCTCCCACTTCGGCTGCTGACCACAACCGAGATGATAACCGGAGGCGACTGTCCACCTGCATTTGTACCAGCGTTGGTAGTGGGGTGGACCGGAGACTGATGACCACTTTCTTCAGAAAACATAACGGCTTCCATATCATAGAAATTTTTCTCATCTATATGTCGGTTAATGTGAAGTTTGGCCTCGCTCAAAGAGTGGGTATTTTTTAGGTGTGACGACGTGGCGGCCATAGAACTGAACTCCGACTCACAATAAGCACAGCGAAACTGCACTCCAGGAATATGGCTGTAAATGTGAGACTCAATAGTCAGCTTTGCTGGAGCCGTGAAACTACACCTCTTGCATGAGTACTTCCCAGAAGAGAACTTGTCAGAGTGAAGAATCACTTTGATCCTCCAATCTTCAGGCACACTTCCGTGATATGCAGAGTGCTTTGGACTTTTGTTATTATCCCCCGCTGGACCAGGCTTCTTAAAGCAGCCAGTCTTCGGTGGAGATGTGCCTGCTGAAGCAACGCTGTTACTGTCCGAAGACACATCACTAGGTACATACTCAACAGTTTTGTTTGAAGTTGCTGTCAACACCTCAGAATCAGCACCCCCTTCCTTCAGACCCTCATTACTACTAGCCTTACTTACTGTGTTCACAATCACACTATCTCCTGTTCTGTTCACTCTAGGAAAAGCATCTCCAACACTCTGCTTCTTACAACATGTTGAAGTATCCCCATCCCCATGACTCATGTCAATTAAAGTTCCTGTGTCTGTCATATCTTTGGCAACTACAGCAGAATCACTCATCTCTGTGGTGGTTTTTTTACCAGGCTCACTACTTCCTGTTGGTGCAACTGTACAATCAGGGTGAGATTTCTGGACTTCATACATGATTTTCTGTGACGTGCTAACCGTTGCTTTGACACTGCTATCTATGAATACACAGTCTGAAGGCTGAGAAGTATCACGCTGAATACTTGTTTCTATGTTTCTAGAAAGATCTTCAGAGTTCCCTACACTGACAAAGCTGTCAGTAGCCTCTTGTAAAACATCAAGCTGGTCCAACTTTTCTGGGTCTTTATGGCTGTTATAGGACTCAAACATCAGCCCCATTTCATCGTTAGAATAAGTTCTCTGTAAATGGCTAAGTGAAGCATTACCAACATGGCTGAGGTGATTCTCTGAGGCACTCTCATGACTCAATGCAGGGAGAGCATTAGCAATGCCAGAAGTCAGGTGAGAAGCAGATGATACAGAACCTGGTAAGGATGGCAAATCATCAGAATTCTGTTCAACAACTCCGTCTTCAAGGTCTAGAATCAGAATGTCATCCTCATCCTCATCAACTGACATCACGGGTTTCGTTGACCCTGCATTTTCTAGAGTTGACACTTTATCTGAGGGGTGAGCATTAGTGCCTACTCTGGTCTGAGCTACCACAGATACTCCATCACTAAGTGACATGCTCCCTGAGAGATGCCTCACTGATGAGGCTGCTTGTGCTCCTGCTATGTATGAGTCTGTATTAACAGCCAATGCGCCCCTGATGCCTGTTGTGGGCAGAGATAAAATTTCAACAGCACTCAAATCAGCTGCACCATTCTGTACGCTTTTCTCAAGATGGGCTGGCCTTGATACGTTGTAGGACCTTTTAGACCCAACTTCTCTTTTCCCAGGAAGAGGCTGACTCTTCTTTTTTAGGAAGTCCATGTAGCTATTCTCAAAGCCTGATCTCTCCACTTTTGAAGATTCACTGCCAGAACCTAACTTCAATCCAGCTGGTTCATTCGGCTCCACCACCGGTTCTGTTTTAATGACAAGTTTTATTGGCACATGCTGCCGCTCTTTCGGGGACTTTGCTGTTAGTTTGGTACTTTTGATTTGTGATTCTGCTCCTTTCTTTATGATTCTTTTCAGTTTTAACCTGGGAATAGATGGTCTATTGTTATTCCACTCTTCACTGTCATGCTCTTCAAAATCTGCACGCCAGTCTTCATTACGATTGTCAAAAGGGTTATAATCGGGACTTTCCCGGCTAGGTCTTAGATTGTCAGGTGTTTCATGACTAGCTTCCTCGCCTGAGGAAAGTTCTAGTTCGTCAAGCTGAAGCTTTTTGACAAAATCGTTCAGAACTACTGAACAGGTCAGGAGGTTTTCAGGACTCTCTTCACCAACTTCATCTTCAGAGAAGCCTTCCACAGACTCACGTGCACTACGTTTTTCTCTAAGATGGATAAGCCTAGCTTGGCGTCTCTCTTGCTCCATATCATATTGTGCTTCTTCCTGCTTTCGCTTCATTGCAAGCATCACAAGAGGTGACCGTGTTGATTTTTTCCTTAATGAAAAACTGCCAGCTGGAGTACTAGTGCTATCTGCAAAAGTAGGGACTGTAAAGCAATCCGACACAACTTCTGATCTCTGTGATGTGCATAAAAACTGGAGTAAAGTCTGGTCTTCGCACTCTTTGGTAAAGGCCTTGAGAGCTTTCCTTCGCTTCAGGTTCTCTTCATCTTTTCTTTTCAGCCTCTCCTCATCTGTCATTGGAATTCCAGGTGGTTGACCTTTGCTTCCCTTTTTGGGCCTACCTCGTTTTTTGGGCTCTTTCCCACTAACAACCACCGACCTCTGAGTTGAAATTTCTTCTGCACCAAATGGCGTATCAGTATCTACCACGCTGTTGCTGTCTTTTGACTCGTACACAGAAATGTTATTGTCAATCTTTCCTGGGTGAAGTGAGACGTCTCTGGGGAGACTTATACGTGCAGCAATATCTGGCTCTTTCCTTGGGGACTGCTCTTCGTCGCTGACACCAGACAGATATAAATGAAGATCTGAATCATCAACATTCTCAGAGACAATCTCAGCCTCCTGTATACTCTTTGAGTCACTTACATCCAGAAACTCTGGATCCGTCACATCTTGAGGTGACAGATCTGGAGGAGTTTTGTTCCAAGGAGCTATGGATCTCAAAAGAGGAAGCATACCCACAGGACTCAGCTTGGGAAGAGCTTCACCAGCCTGCTTTTTAGGCCTGCCTCGTTTCTTCCGTACAGGCAAATCAGAAATTCCTAACTGCGACTCCACTGCCGTCTTTTCTCCTGCAGCTTCTTCAACTTTCTGATCAGCATGAAGCAACTTTCTCCTGATTCTTAACCTCTTTTCTTTATCCTCCTGTCGTTGAATTTTCCTTAAAAATTTTCCTTTATAGGGCTCTGCACCAAAGTCAGCGTGCGCTAAATTAGCATCCGTCTGAAGTTTCTTAAGCATGTTTTTTAAAGACTTTGTGACAGCTGGTGGGTAGGTGTCCGCTATCATGTGTTCTTTTCCACCCACTAAATTTCCAGATGTTGGAGCTGTAGTTTCACTGTTAGATGCGACAAATGGCATCAATGTTTCATTTTTCTGGTTATCATCTAAGACGTGGATTTTACTGTCAACTGAATCTTTGATTTTACTAGCATCTAATTTGTTGTTTACACTTTCACCCAGATCTTCGGTTTTACTAGCATCTGAATCTATGATTATACTTTCATTGAAATCCGTGATGATACTTTCATCGAAATTCTTGATTTTACTGTTTTCTGAAACCTGGATTTTACTATCGTCTGAAATCTGGATTTTACTATCATCTAAAATCTCAAATTTACTATCATATGAAATCTGTTTTTTACTAACATTTGAAACACGGATTTTATTCTCATGCTCATCTGGTATTTTAAAAGAACTGTTAGACATTAAAGCAGCGGAAGCTGACTGATCATACAGCTGGAGACTAGCTGAAATCTGGCTTCTATCTTCACAATCAGAGGTCAGAGCTGGGAGTAAAATATTTTCCTGCAAATTATCAGATGTCTGTTTGTTGTCCACAACATCAGAAATCAACACGGGAGTCAATTCAGCCATTTTCTCAATAGCATCTACAATACAGGCAGTAGCATCATTTGAGTTTAAAACTAAGACCGACATGTCGTTCTGCTCTGGAGATGGAGACTTCGCAGATTTTTTAATTTTCCTAGATACATTTGTAACTTTGCGTAGGACACCTCGTTGCCAGGAGTTTCTTTTCCGCTTTCTCGCTCTCTTTGCTGGTGTTCCGACCATACTGTTAGCTTCCTGCAATCCTTCATTCTGTTGGCTTTCTGCAATCTCCGCGCAGCTGTTGAAATCCTCTGCAGTCTCTAGAGGAACAGTGGATACATCTGAAGAAGCACTATCCAAAGATACAGACATATCTGCAGTTTCTACTTGTTTTCGCATTTTACGTCTTAATAACTGTGCCTGCTTCCTCTTTCTTTTTCGTAATTTAGTGTTTTTATGTTGGCCGCACAGCGACTGCGGTGATACTGGCATCTCCAGGTCGTCATCAGAAGCTTCAGCCACACTGTCAACATTACTTTCAATATCAATAACAGGCTTAATAATCATAGTGTCTACGGCACCTTCTCTGGCATCAACGGAACTACTCTTTAGCATCTCACACTGATCTCTATTATTACCACTGTTGCTGTCCATACTGATATTATAAGATCCCATCTCAGCAAATAAATGTTGCTGGGAACAGCTGCTCTGGAACTGTTCTAACAAACTAATGCCTGCTGAGGTAGAAGTAACTGTCTCTGAGTCTTCTTGTGATAAAACCACTTCAGCTTCTATGCTAGGTTCTGCAAGTTTTATCTTTCCACTATCAAGTTCAATTTCTGGCCCCTTAAAGGTACTGACCAGTTCTTTCTCATTCATCAAGTCATTCTCTTCATCTATAGGTCCCTTTTCTGATGCATCAGTTTTCTTCTCTGTATTCTCTTCAGAACCAGAAGGTGATTCTACAGCAGCTGCTGTTTCAGAATTATCCTCTCTTTCATGAAGTGAAGTGTCATGCAATGCACCAGACTTTATAGATCCTGGACTAATTATTCCAGAACCTACTGCATGCTGACTAGGAATGACAGACTGCAAGTCCTGCAAAATTTCTGAAGTATCAACAAATGAATCCTTGTGGCAAACATCTGGGCAACCAGAATCCTGTTTTCCTGGAGAATTATTTAAAAACTCTATGTCAATATCGGCTGCTTTCAACTCTGCATCTTTCAACTGCTGAGGGCCTTTACTGTCAATAGAGTCTGAAACATGCATAGCAGACGACTCGGTCTGAGACATATGCACACAATCATAGGGTTTCATTTTAGAGGCATTTTTCTCTGTTGGAAGATGTGATTCTAAAACACCTAATGAGCACAGGTCTTTTGAACCACAGGCTAAGCTATTAACACAAGAAACAGGTGAGGTTTCTGCAGGTATATTCAGGCTATAACCTAAGGATTCAAACAGATTGTCTTTATGCACATGTTTTTCAAAATTATCTGTTTCAGCAGTGCTACTTATTGTATCGGTCAAAGTGTCATTTTCACTGTCTCTGGCTACCTCTGCAGAATGAGAAGACTTGTTATCTATCCCAGCCTCGGACATGTGCTCAGTCAAATCTTTCTTGACAAGTGATTCTTTCATCTTCTTCTTCATCTTCCATTTCTCACCGGCTACCTTGGAAGTGGCAGGTGATGAAGCCAAAAGTTCATCTTCACTGCTGGGTTCCAAGTAGCATAATACTTCCAAAGAGTTATCCAGTGTTTCTGTATCAGTCAAAGTGTCCTTGTCATTGTCTTTGGTTTGTGGAATTTTAACTTCCGCCACCTCTGCAGCATGAGATAACTTATCTATCTCAGCCTCAGACATGTGCTCGGGCAAATCTATCTTGGCTAGTGATTTTTTCTTCGCCTTCTTCATCTTCTGTCTCTCACTGACTACCTTAGAAGTGGACGGGGATGAAGTCAAAAAGGCATCTTTGTTACTGGGCTCTAAGTTTTGTAGCACTTCCAAAGAGTTATTCAGTGTGGTAACTTTTCTCCGACCTCGAGTTCTGACGCTGCTGGAAGGTGTAACATGAACATCAACAGCTTGCAATTTTTTACGCCCTCTTTTATTTTTCTTCGATAAAAGTCTTTAGACCAGTGGGTGTATCATTATATGATGTATCCATTTCCACATCTGATGTTTCAGGCATTGTTTGAGAATACATTTCTTTATAAATAGTTTCTATGGGTGTTTTATTTTCCTGAATGTCTTCAGTGTTGTCACTATCATGTTTAGCCACCAATAAAACACTGGTCTCCTTATCCTTATTTTTAGTACCTACATTTGAACTGTTCAAATCAGTATGTCTGCCGTGTACAAGTTTAGACCCACTGGCGTCTATTAATAAATCTTCAGAAACAGCTGACTCATTAACATTTATTTCTGAATGGACAAAGTTAAATAATTGGCCTACTGTTTCATGCGCGTTTCTGACTTCACTTTCTTGATTCAGTGTGACATCTTTATTCCTTCGTTGCCTTCTCACACCAGACAGGCGGGCCCTTGGTCTAGACTTTCTTCCTGTGCCTTCTTCAGTTGGTGCTGGTGATATACTCAGAAGTGGTGACAGTTGCTGCTCTGGTAAATCATCTGAGGGAATGCTCTGTTCAGTCTTCATGAGCTTGCTCTGCAGAGAGTGCAGCTTTTTCTTTCGGAGCTGTAGCAGTGACTTTGGTGTCACAGTTGTCTTTGAAAATTTTGCTGAGTGCAAACTTCTTTGTCTGGCCAGCTTAGGTTTTATACAACTATTAGCTTCCTTCATAGAAATATCATCAACATCTCGTAACTTTCGTGGTTCATCAACACTGAGAACTGTTTCATTACCCGAAGCAGACCAGAATCCAGCAGTTGTGTTCAATCGTTTAAGTTCAGCTGAACTCAAGAGATCTGAAATCAACAGCTCCGATGATGTGTTGGCCGTTTCTGAAGAAACACCGTTACTCGAAAAATTGGTTGCTGCCAGTACATTTTTATTTTCTAACCCATTTTCAAAAGCTGACTTGGACACTGCACCATCTACATTTAAAATGCTTCGTTGTTTTTGTTTGCCTTTTTTCTTCTTTATGGCAGTCTTTTCTGCTATCCCTTTATCTGCAGCACGCCTAGAGACTTTCCTGTTTTTCTTCACGGCAGGCACATTTTCTGAGGTAGAAGGCTTGGGATCACTACTGGATTCTCCAATTACAGACTGTGTTGTTATAGAACTGTTCTTCAATTTTTGTCGTCTGCTAGTTCCTATTATCAGAGACATTTTCTTACTTTGAATATTTGCAGAGCCCTTCTTCGGTCTTGTTAGGTTTGTCGACTTATCCAAGAAATGTTTCTTCCTGAATCTAGACACAGGACTTTCACAATTTATAAATTTATCATCATCTGTTGCTGCTGGAGTCACAGTGCTATGAACTTCCTTCTGAAGTCCTGACAGTTTGTCTTTGCATGATTCCTTTTTAACTGCCATTTTGTTTCGGGCAGGAAGTAAATCATCAGCAATAGCGGCCAGATCAGAATCGTCAATTTTCACGCCAATTTTAGTCTCGCTGCCTCTAGAAAACGGTCTAGAAATCTGACGAATTCCTCTATCTAAAGAGGAACTGGAGCAAGGGCTGACATCCCGAGAGCTTGTTCTAGAAGCCCCAGCTGCTTCTTTAAATGAGAATCCATCAGTTGTACGCAGTCTCCGCAGCTCTGTAATAGGAATGTTTGACCTCAGCAGAGCTGCTTCATCTTTATCCGAGCGTGGTTTAGACAAAGAATGCCTTCTTGTACCAGAAGGTGTGATATCTGGAGTTGATGTCCGGCTGTCCTTTTTACCAGCAATAGCCTGTTTTTGTAAATTTGAATCAGCTGACTGACTAAGAGGACTGCCAGCTGCTTTAGTAGACCAGAATCCATCAGTAGTCAACAGTCTTTTCATTTCAGTTGTGATGCTGTCTTGGAGCTCATTAGCTGCAGTCTTAGCAGATTTGACTGTTGAAATTTTTGACCTGCTAAACTTTCTGAGCTTTGCTTTCTTTTTCCGTGAAATCTGTAGTTCTGTTTTAGATCTCCCTCTGCTTAAGGGACCTGTGGTTAAAGATTGTGTCTGCTGAGAAACTTTCTGGCTTTTCTGTCTAACAACCTTGGATAGCAAAGTCTTCATCTTATCTTTTAAAGATTTTCTACTAGTAGGAGTAGATCTTTTACCACCTGAACTGGCTCTATCAGATGAAGTCTGGCGTCTTTTTCTGCCTGTCACTTTGACAGAGTCCAAAGAAGCCGATTTATCACCATGTCCTGATTTCAGACTAAGGTTCACATTTTGTTTTTCCGAGCCAGGTGTGTCTGCTGGTGCTTGGGCTACATCAACATTTACTTCCAGTGTATCTGCAAAGTGACATAAGATCTTTAAATTGAAGGATAATATATGAAAACACACACATGCACATACAAACTCTACTACAACAGGGCTTTTCAACCGTAGACCATGGGCCAAATCCGGCCTAACAGAGCACAGTAAGTTGCCAGCGGATTACTGCAATTGCATTACATTAAAGATCTGTCTATGCTGGGGCTCTGAGTTCTGGTCTGTCAAGATCCTTATTTTCCACTTCTTGGTCCCTGAGTGAACTTAGTTGAATAGACCTGCTCTACGTTAAAGCTCTCTACCCAAAGTCATCTTTACAATCGCCCTGTTTTGCTGTTATACATCTTATGGGCTTATAGTTTATTTTTCATTACATTCTATTCTGTGCCATTATTCCAATATATATAATATAACAAACTGTCCGCCTGTGTTGCCGTCCGAAAGCAACTACATAGCCTCAGCGACGTTCCTCTATTTACCCCAGAGTGTTAACTCTGGTACTCATTACCTAAAGGCTGGGTGGGCCCTGGGAACAGCCCGGTTTCGAAAACCGGCCCGTGGGCTGCAGCTAAATCTCCAGAGTGGTTAGATATTGCATAGGTCTGTCAACCTAATGGTCTCTAATTCGACTCTGCAACGGTGTGATGCTGAACACATCCTTCACCAAGTGCAGACTGTCTATAAAAACACAAGTCTTGCATTACGTTCTTAGTGCCCCACAAGAGTGGGTGTTTTTAAATGCCTTTTGCCGATTTAAAAAAAAACATTTTAAACCATGAAATAATACTCTACATTTTGCTATTTTACCCATACATCATCATCGTGTGCCCTGCCAACTTGCGTAGGTGCTCATGCGTCTCCACAGATCACTATCCCTGGTTGCCTTGAACAGCTCTCTTGATGATATGCCTCCATGACATTGTTTCAGCCCATCCAGCCTCATCTCTCTTGGTCTGCCTCCATCCCCTTTTTTTTTTCAGTTGTCACGATGTTCACCAATGTCTCTCTTCTCATTATATAGCCAAAGAACAGTATTTGTGTTTTCTAAAGAGTTTTCTTGGGAAAATAATGTAGTGGTTTTCTTGTTGCCTCCCACATCCATGGGGGGGGGGGGGGGGGGGGTAATTTTAACCTGCATCTTTGATAGTAATTTCTGACTGCCAGGACAAGTGGGTGCCCTTCTAGTGCCCAGCAATATGTTACTTGCATCTATCATAATAGTTCACTCAGCCAACCACTCCAGAATTTTACCTCAATCACACCATTTAAATATCCTGAACAGAATAATCTTTGACATGTGTAATGCTGCTTTTGCAGTTACAACTTTGCAAAAAAATGGATGTTTCAAGGAGATTAATGAGTAGTGCGACTTAGCAGTTGGCCGAATAGTTAGGAATGCTCGGCTCTCATGCAGAAGATCCAGGTTTGAAATTCCCAGTTAGATCCTTAAATTTTTGACAGGGGCAGAAATAATATTTTAATCTTCAGTCAGTAGTGACAGCAACAGCCATGCGGACCTAAATACTCAGGATCAAAGAAACCCCTGAACACCGCCAATGGTGAATACAGGCAGAAATGGCAGGTTTGTTTTGTTTTGTAAAGGAGAGATTATCAGCTCTACTGTGCTTAGTCTAATTCTGTATGGCTCACCCTCTCTTCTAGAGGGGTTTGTTTCGCACAACAGCACTGCAAAAAAGAACAAACTCCATAACTTCAGCAAAGAACCCTAGTGATCGAAAAAACACCTGCACTTGTCAATTGACCTCCCTCACTTGCTTCTATATACCTAGGCATGCTGGAGTTAAAGATTACGAGCGAACAGACCAACTGGCAGATTATGCACCACCGGAAGAGGCATGAGCAGAGCTGATATCATCAAAGCCATATGGGCTAAGCTGGTGAATAACGATAAATCTCCCATGTTAATATGATCTCAGAGTGAAGCCAGGTGAAGCACGTTGGTGTCCTCTTTGAGATCAGTATAGGAGATACTGTAACTAACTTCTCGTGCTGTAGCAACTACTGCACTGGACGACTTAGATCTCTGAAGGAAAGTTCTGGTTGTTTGTCGGCTTCTATATTTGTGGGTCTTACTCCAGAACCTGCATGGTGTGTGCACATCCTTTTTACAGATCTAGCTTATCTTAAGCAGACTGTGGCTTTCCTGCCTCTCAGGCAGATGCACTCCATCTTCAAAGGAAGGCAACAATTAATTTATTCTTATGATATGCTTGTAGGGGAGGCAGCGGGTCTAATACAGTTTTTCCCCACAATGGGGTGATATAATGGAATCCACAACCCTTAATCTATAAGGCAAACAGCTTAACCACTTCACCAGTGAGGCACAGCCACCACTGCATACATTTTACCCTAGAGGACAAACAATATCAAAATTACCCTGCTCTGACAACTGTGTTCCTTGTCCGGCTGCTAATGGTGCTGAAGCTTCAATGGCCAGCTGCTTCTTTGGAGGTCTCCCACGTTTGCGTACAACACCAGCTTCTGGGACTTTCTTCATGGTGAATGCTTATCTGTGATCACAGCACTGCAGAAAAAAAAAAACACAAAAAACATAGAGAGATATCTAGAGAGTTTCAATACAGCAGTGGCTAGAAGTTCCCCTGTTGACCCAAAAGTATGGAGTTTTGAATCAGCATTAAGGCAGATATTTTCAAAGTTGAGCTTGGCTCCCAAGTCAACCCAGCCTAAAATATGTACCAGGCAGTGACCAAGGATCACAGAAC